ATAATAGAAATAAGATGGATGTAAAGTGATATTTCTATGTATGTACATATATATATTATACTATACTAAGTATATTGAGTTTATAAAGTGCTAGTACTATTTGGAAATGTAATAACATTCAAATTAATAAGAATTTATATACAATAGACTCAACTAACGAAACAACAAAACTACATGGAAACCTGTTTCATCGCCGAATAATTCCGTCAACAAGATCATAGGGTATAAGTAAGCAGTGTGTTATTCTGACCCATTCGCTTGTGGGAAATATGGTTATTCACTTTTCATTGTTTTCCTTTAATGTTTTCTTATAAAATTTGTAAATGACTAATATAAATATATCGAAGAAAAGATGAGACAAGGTGAGTAGCGTGAATATAATAAGTTAACCTACGATGCGTTATAATAGTAATCGTACTAGAAATGAAATATCGTACAAGTTACCAAAGATATGAGATCACTATGTTTATAGAGTGATTATCATAATGGTATTCACTCATATTTATCTGTGAATACATTCGATAACATTCAGCAAGTATATATATAATATATATACTACTAATGATTATACTGTTAAGAGATCTCGAATACTTTTCATAGAGGTCTTCGGAAAAATGTAGATTTTCCTTGTCATCTTTGTCAGTATTATAACGCGATTCTGATGTGTCTGCATTACTATAACATCAAACGTTAACCTTGGCATCGAAATGCTATATATTTTCTCTATTCACTAATTCTTTTATCATTCTCTCTTACTCTCTCTCTGCTTCTATACCCTATATCCCCTATATTCATTAATATCTATATAAATCTTCTCTCTCTCTTACTATCAATCTATATACTATCTATATCTTCTTAATCTCTTCTTCTCTTCAATCTTTCTTTCTATAATCTTCTCTGACTCCTACTCACTGCTCAACACTACAATCTACACCTAACAACTCACACCGCGCTACTTCACACGCATCACACAAATGAAGTGATATCTATAATATTGATCTGACTTTATCGATCCACTCTAAAAATGTAAACTGATTAACCTTCTAGTACCATACCAAAATCATCCATCCCATCTCTCTCTACTCTCTCTCTCTCTCTCTAATCTCTCTCTAACTCATCTCTTCTTCTCTCTCTCTCTCTCTATCTCTCTCTCTCTCTCTCTCTCCTTAACCTCTCTCTCCTACTAAATTTCCCTTTCTTATTTCATATAAAGTTATTTTCCTACCTTGATCTTATCCCACTATTTACCTCTGTTCTGTCTGTATTATGATTTTATTAAAAAGTCTGTGGCCTAATTTTTCTAAAAATCGTTTATCCATTTCAACTTTAGCCTTTTTCCTACCAAGGTAAAGCCTTTCTCTTAGATCTTCGATTCAATCTGTTTAATATATAAGCTCTTTTTTTGTCTTAGCTAATTTGCCCAAACGACTAAAGTTTGCCGGAGTCTAAGATAACTGCAAATCGAAACTTATCTTAGACAAACATGAAATCAGCCAAGATAAAATACATAAATCTTAACTTTCCTCCATATAATGTGAATAAATAAACTATATCCTTGTATCTAATATTTGCTCGTGCCAACTTATTTTAAAAGCCTATAATCATACAAAGTAGAACTCGAATTTACTATTTTAATTGATGTTTTAAAATACCGTATCTATCACTATACTCATTTCTCACTCAATTTAAGTAACTATAGTATATGTTTCTCGAAGAGCCCTATATACTAATTTTTATCTATAACTTAGTCATAAGGACACTCTCGTGGGCTTTGTTTCATATCTAGTATTATATATTATGTATTAATGAGGCTTTTCTGTTGTGCCTCATATCCTCTTGATGAGTATACTCATATAATATAAAATACTTTATATATATTATAATAATAAAGTGTCTGGCCGAGCCTGAGCATTACCTATATAATACGAAGTAAGTGTATGGTGCCGTCTCTGCCGGAGATATATAAATACGAACAGTACGCGTAAAATAAAACACTAATAATAGGGAATTTCTGGAACGTTTGTGAGAAGTCCGGTATAACACATGATTTTTATTATCATTTTTATTTTTTCTTTATATTCCTACCTTCGCATAAAAAGGCAGGGTGGGCGATAGGTTACCTTAATTCCTTCTACTAGTCGTTCGCCCTCGTTTCAAGAACCGGAATGAGAAACTAAGGCTCCATCATTAGCTTATATAATATATTATGGCGACCTTAATCCACTCTACTACGTGATAATGTAATACGTGCCGTAAAATACACATCTATAATATTAGAGTATAATAATACCGATATATACATATATACTCAATATGCTAATAAATTAATTATCTCTATATATAAGTCGCAGTATATTAATAACATTCAACAGTATTTACATGACAGGATATATATTTAAAGTTATACATACCTATTGATTGATACCTACTATGCACGTACAACATGTTACATGACTTCCTTATACGAGTTATATTTTGCCCAATACAATATAAAATATTGCTCTCTACTAGATCTGAAGTGAAAATAGAACAGTTGATTACTGCATTGTTTAGTAGCTATGTAGCTATTCGTCATCGTGAACCAACTTCAATTGCGTGCGTTAAACCTGATAATCTCCAGATCACAGATATCTCTGAATTCAAGCTCAATTCAAGTAACGCATGGCCAAAAGTGAACTTGAGCTGTAAGCGAGCTTACTCAGAGAGATTCTCCGAATAAATCCGCAATCCTATTGTATGTGCGCGTCAATGGACTTTTTCGTTTCCCGGCACGGACCACAGTCTAGAGGGAAGTTCGAAGATAATACCCTTCCCTTGCGACGCCTGCTGACCGATTGCTGTGGCTACCGAGAGATAATGTAGTCCTTTCAAGTGCGATAGAAGTTCCATTTTTGTGCAATAATGTGTGACGAGAATTATAACTCTGCCCCGCGTCCCGCTGATACTGTTCCATAGTATCCTTCCTACTAAGACTTCAAACTCAAGGTTTCACTCCTAAAAACTAAATAGTTGTTCTTGCCAGTGTTCACATGCCCAGGTATCAGTAAGTCACTTGAACGTGTGTGTTAGCTGTTAGTGTAGTAGTGGTGTTGGGAAGCAATAATCAAGATAGCTGACTATTGTATTTAAGAGAATGTAATCGGTGAATTGGGAAGTTAGTGGATGTATCGTCGTCTGAGGGAATGGTACGTCTGCTCACTCATTTTAATCTCCTTTCACCGTCTCCACCAAGGCGGTCTCTATCTCGGTATTTTGCAATCCGTGGGAAGGCTGGCTGGTCCGTTCGTCTGACCCGTCGGGTGGGGGAGACAGCGAAGAGAGAGAGGAGAGTGAGTAGAGACACAGGCTGCGGGTTGAGGTGGGATAGCGTGACGGCGCAGCGTAGTGAGAGACGAGAGTACGGTAGTGATGAGGCTGGAGAGTAGGGCTCAACCTGCCTCACTCTGCTCTGTGCTGGGTTAAACATCCGCGAATCGATGTGCGAGCCTCGCCGCTCTGCTGGCTCGCTTAGACGCGAGGACGTCATGTCTTGGTATGCCGAGAACTCGTGCGAAGACCTGGGATAGAGGTGGTGGGCGGGAAGCCTAGCGCACGTGGCTGCCTCTTGACTTCCTTTGTGGTTCCTAGGTTGTCTCACGCGTGTTTATTCGTGCACGCCTCCCTGTTATTGGTAGTGCTCTTTCTATAATCGACCCGCATTTTTCTCTTTGACCTGGCCTCTCCTCGGCTCCGACTCTCTTCGAGATCCTCGCCCTCGCTTTTTTCTGCCCATTTTATCCTCTCTCGCGCTTCTGTGCTACATTGCTGAGACATCTGTGAAGAAAAATAGAGTACAGAGGTTGGATTGATGGCGGTGTGTAGCCAAAGTCTTGTAAGTATCGTAGACTGCGCTCTAGCGACAAAAGGCAAAATCGGACCCCGATTTATAAAGGCTTTCTCGATTCGTGCGGCATCATTGAAAGTGTGCCAAGTGGAAAGGCGGGCACAAATGATTCTGTTGGTTTCTCGTCTGTTGCGTTATTCGTTCCGTCCCTTACAAGCAAACTAGGTCGAGCCGTTGCGATTGGGTATAGAAACCAAGAGCTCATTTACGTGGGATTACATTGAAGATAGCTGTGGACGGCAGGGGCGGTAGGCCTGTCCTGGTTGATAGCAACGGCTCATAGCGAAAGGCACCAACGCCGAGAGCCCGTAATGTCGAAGTTGATCGCTGTTTTTGTTTGCTTAGCTGCGCGGATGATCTTTGATGACGATCCTGTGGTGTGGTCCTTGTCCGGCCCCGTGTGACCATGTGCGAGAAGCATCTCTACCCCTCCGAAGAGTGGTAGCATCCCATTTTCCCCTAAAAAGCCCTTTTATTTCCCATTTCCTTATAAATAGATATAGCTGACCATCTAACCCTCTTCACGTATCTAAGGAGTGAAGTAAGCTGCATAGAGAGAACGCTCCTCTCATCCCAACTGCACCTCAGAATGCCGACATTCTTCCTACTCCCGCATAATCGCCAATGATTATGGATCATTCTACTCCACACGGTCACGCGATATCTCTCCTACCTCTCTTATACTCTAGGCGAGGCACCCTCACGTCCGCCCATTTAACGCACGCTTTCGTGCGAGAGTATGTACCTCACGGCGACTATTATCTTCATACACTCACCCTCCGCCACCATTGTATTTCTCGTCGACTCCCTTGTATACATCCAGACATCCTTGCACTTTCCACCACTCATCCATCTCTCATAGCGTCTACGATAATAAAAGACACCACACGCTCTTGATATCTCGATCATACAGCCCTAAGCGCACCTACTGCCACACTTCCCACACACTCCTGCGCGCGCTCAGCCCGGCTGTCATACTCGACTCATTCTCCACGCGTGCAACCCGAATTGC